TGTAGACAGACAAAAAGGAAATGCCCGAACCTTGGCCATACTTAACAATATGTTTAAAAGTCACGTTGTTAATTACTGATTTTTTCACAATGTTAATTTTCCAATCAATGTCCCAGTGTTACCTGTCAATTACTATATTATAAAGATGAGCTAAGAATGTATTCCATGTTCGTGCTTAGCCTTTTAAAAGTTTCACTTAAGAATCTGGGAGTTTTGCCAATAAAAAAATGGTTATTTTTCTTTGAGTCTCAAGAATCTTGTCATTTTTGTGTAATATCTTTCTTTGTTTTCTTTTTGCCAAGGGATTACCCATAATTAGTCTGTAAGGATCCTTGGGAAATGTATCTGCATATTCTAAAATATTTTCAGGGCCCCTGAGTGGCTCAGTCCATTAATTGTCCAATTCTTGATTTCAGCTCAGGTCACGATCTCGTGGTTCGGGGCGTCGAGCCGCACATCAGGCTCTGTGCTGATGGTGAGGAGCCTCCTTGGGACTCTCTCTCTCTCTGTCTTTCCGCCCCTCCCCGGCTCTCTCTTTCTCTCAATAAATAAATAAGTAAATAAATAAATATTTTGAAACATTTTCCTACATGATTTTTTACTTCAGAAGTATCTTTTAAACTCACCTCAGGCCTAATATATAAATATAATATTTATATATTTATTATATTAAGTTATATATATATATATTTTTTTTTCTAAAGCTTATTTATTTTGAGAGAGACAGAGACAGTGCAAGTGGGGAGGGGGCAGAGAGAGAGGGGGACAGAGAATCCCAAGCAGGCTCCGCATTGTCCACGCGGAACCCAATGCGGGGCTCGAACTCTCAAAACCGTGAGATCATGACCTGAGTCGAAACCAAGAGTCGACCAAGAGTTGAAGGAGTGGGTTGGAGAGTCATAGAGTGTACCATCCAGAGCCTGGAAATAGCATTGCTGAACTTACTGAACCATGGTCCCGTGCACCTTCTGTGCCAATGGTTGTATACTGGAGCTCTCAACAGTTTTCACTTACCATACTTGTGAGGTGATTGTCAGATTTAAACCTGAGCATATTAGGTCAGGAGATTCTCATAAAAACAGTTTTCTGAATCTGGACTAGGACTGCAGGGCCCCCAAGGAGCTGGTGCTCGGCCCTTGAAGGAGGGCAGTCAGTCATTCCATTGTTATTCTCCTGAATGGATGAAGGAAAGACAGAGGAGCCTCCCAGTTTATTTTTGGTGGGTCCTTTCTTTGGGCGGCTTGGCTCAGGCAGTTCTCCTGTCCTATAATGCTTTTACTCACTTCTTCTCCCTGCTAGCCAGAATGCAGGCAGTCCTCACAGCCCTTCTCGTTTGCGAAACTTTGCTTGATCATCTCCTGGCCTCAAGCAATGATGGCTTCCTCTCCTGAACTCTTATGTCACCCACTGGCTCCAGATCCTGGAGATCAGAGAAGGAAAGTGGGGACTCCGAAAGTTATCCCCGGAACATTGAAGGTAGGGGCACTGCAGATTTACACTCTTTTTTTTTTTTCTTTTAAGATTTTTAAAATTGTTTACTTTTGAGAGAGAGAGAGAGAGCACAAGCAGGGGAGGGCAGAGACAGGGAGAGACACAGAATCTGAAGCAGGCTCCAGGCTCTGAGCTGTCAGCACAGAGTCTGATGTGGGGCTTGAACCCACAAACTGCAAGATCATGACCTGAGCCAAAGTTGGACGCTTAACCCAACTGAGCCACCCAGGAGCCCCTATCCTCTTTTGGCTTCCCCCAGAAACCTGCACAGGTTGCTTTATCTTGGTCTAAAGGCAAGTTTTTCTGGTTCCAAAAAGGAAACTGAGAGTAAGTTTTATGTATCTAGCTAGCCAGCTATCATCTATTTATCTATCTATTTCTCTATTTACTTATTTGCTGGGAGGCTCTTATACAGAGAACATAGACTCGCCAGAAATAATACAAGAGCACACTTGAGTGTCATCCTTTGACCCCCTAACTCAGAAGAGGGCAAGAACACCAGTCCATCCAGGAGAGAGTATGATGAGGGGGCAGACAGGACTTCCAGGGCTCCCACAGGGGTGTGTGTGTGTGTGTGTGTGTGTGTGTGTATGTGTGTATACATATATATATATATATATATATATATATATATGTATATATGTAATCCCCTAAGGTGTGGGTCCGATTTCCTCTGGCTGCTCGGGGACAAAATCTTCAGGGCCCCTCATGAACGGGGCTAACTAGAAGCCATCCTGGTTCCTAGACCGCCGCCAGGCATTTAGGGGGACCCAGCAGGCACTAGGAAGCACCGACCCTCAGAATGCCAATCAACCAAAGCATATGTTCCTAATTTCAAACAGATGCGCTGCAATATGCTTGCCTCATCCTGATTAGAACTTAAGGCCTACGGGCTTCAACCAGTTGAGGCAACGCTCGGGTGACCCAAAGCAGCCCATGTTAGAACCAGGTAGCATTTGCTAGAAGAAATCAGAGGAGATTGTCCCAAAGATCCCTGCCCGTAGTCTCTTGGACATAGTAGGTGTCCATTAGATAGTAGGTATAGCTGTTAATTTGTAGCTAACTTCAATTGGTCTTATCCTTAACAGATTCTGGGGAAAAGGGAAGAGCAAATTGGGGGAAATGGGCGAAAAGTAGATAAAGAAGGAGACAGTAAAGGAGATACATGAGTTTCTGAAGGGACAGTTCTCCGTGTCTAATATTTCTCTTTTACTCATCAAGACTTGAAAGAGGGGCTGGTTTTCATTCCTTGGCTATTCATGAAATCTTTAGGGGACCGAACTTCCCCAATATGTTTTAAACTTACAAGGCCTTTGTAAATAATAATAGCTGACTTCCCCACAAGCAGAAGGGATATCTTTAAAGGCTTTCCCGGGAGAATGATCCGGCCCTGGGGGGCTGGTAATGGACGGGAGAGCCTTTCACCTCGAGGTCAGCAGGTCAAATCCAAATCAGGCCTGGGGTGGCTGCGAGGCATTGTTTGAGTGACAGCTGTTGGGAAACCCTGGTGAAAGGCGCTGGAGGGTTCGGCTGCATTTCAAGTGAAGTGAACAGGTGCTGTCTGCAGTAATTTTGGCAGAGGATAAAAGAGAGTGGTCAGAAATAGGCCAAGCTTGGGCTCCTGGCCCCAGAGGCCATCTCTGACCTGGCAAAGCGAGGCGCTTGCTTTCCCAACGCAGTCGTGACAGGAGGCAAGCTGAGGAGGCAATGGGTCTGAATTGCCAAGGCCTCAGAGGAACAGACAGTTTCATGCTGCAGCATTTCAGGAGAGAGCTGGCTTCTTCCTGGGGAGTTTCCCAGTCCCTTCCACTCCCCACCCGCCACCAACTCTAGCCCTGTGTCTTCCCTCTCACACCCTTTCTTTCCAACACACTGTTTGCTATCACTGAGTAAGGACAAACCAGCCAAGATGCAAAGGGGTCAGTGGGACGATGGCAGTGATTCACATAAGTGGCGTCCGTTTCCTTGTTTTCAGTTTCTCTGTACATTTTACGCACCATACATCTCAGACTCACAGAGGTGGGGTATAAAATAGGTAGTAGAGAGGACATCAGAATTGGGTAGCTCCTTTATGAGAATCCTTAGGACGGAAAGCCACAGGAGCCTCATCCTTTTGTTTGATGTTGAAGAAACTGAGGCCCAGGGGGGTTGGGGCAGGCCACTGTGTAAGGCTCTAAGCGGCCAGCAACAGAGGGGACTTGCACTGATGTAAACAATGAGCAGATGTATTTGAAAGGACACTGAGGCGCTCACAGCATCTCGGGGGTGGGGGTGGGGGGGCAGGTGGGAACAGAGAGAAGCAGGGGGAGCCAAGTGTGGCCAGAAGCTGACAAGGCAGAATCCTTGGCGGTTCTTCAGAGGAGGCCCCTTTTACCAAGTTAGCCCTGGGGCCCTGAGGATAGGGCCAGGAATGCCCCACTCCACACACAAAGCAGTCATCCCCTTACTTTTAAGTATCTATTCAAATTTCACCTTGGAAGGGGTGCCTTCCCAGACCACCCTATTTCAAATACTAACACCCTTTATGGCTCTTCATTGCACTTATTAGCATCTCACAACTCCTTTACTTGACCATAAACTTCATGCAGATGTGGACTTTGTGATTTGGTTTTGTTTGAATGCCGCATTTCAGAAGTCCCCATTTCTGAAGGGGTAGTGCCCACCGGAAGCTGCCTGTGCCCCTAGGAATGGAGCTTCCTCTGGGCCGGTTGCAAAGTTCCTCTGGGAACTTCACAGGGCCGGGGGAGGGGATTGGCTAGTCTCTATCCAGAGATTTCCCCCTTTTGCCTGCATTCCCGGGTCCTCAGAAGGCTCTTCCGATGTTAAAGCGGGGAGGAATGGGGCTTTCTGAATAAGGGCGAGTGAACGGATGTAGACACAGGCAAAGGAATGTTGGAGGCCACGGTCCCTGGGCTGTTCGGATGCCACATTTTCTACCAAGTTTTTGTCAGCAGGCTAGAGGGACCTGTCCGTGAATCTGGCCGAACAAAGATTCCTCCTAGCTGTGTCCAGCTCTCTCCATTTCCCTTTTCCTCCTCCTTCCTTTCACCTGCAGCTGGATAGTTCCCCCCTCCCTGCCATTTCCCTGGAAAATAAATCTCTGGGAGGAGGCGGGAGAGCGGGTCTCAGAGAACCCTTCTGAATAAATGTCTATATTAATGAATTATTAACTCAGCCATCCATGACCTTAAACCTAGAAGTGGGAGCGCCGAGGGCAGAGAGCTGCTGAATCCTTTATTGGAGTCCTGTCAAAGGCAACCGACCATGTGTCCCCCTCCTCCATCACGAAAAATATAATTAATATGAGAGGCAAACTTTAAAATTGTGTGTCAAACGAAATCAGATAGAGGGTCTCCCTGACCCAATCCTCTTGTCGCTTTCCTGCCCCTTCCTGGCACTCCCTCCCCACTCTCCCCTCCAGCTCCCTTCTTCCCCTCCCAGCGAAGGGTACAATGGGCTTCCCGAGAATAATTTTCAGGAAGAAAAAAAAAAATTGCTGGAGAAAATGATGAATTTGGGTAGTTAATTTATCGATCCCGGCTCCTCTTCCCACTTGTTTTATTTTAGAGGTCATTAATCAATGAAGAAAAACACCACCGTGTCCCCCCGTTTGCATTTAATACACTCACGCTCCTTATTTATTCCTCTGGAACAAATTCCCAGCAAATATTCACCCATCGATTTGGGAGCGATGGATTTTTATAAAGGTTTGATCGCTTCCTAAGTGGTCCAAGTGATTTGTTTCCGCGGTCTTCTTCTCAATAATGAAGAGGAGGGGGGCGGATTTGGGGGGTGCATGTCCTGGCGACGGGTGGCCTCACTTTCTAAACACCCCCACCCCCCACCGACGAGATGTGCCAGGGCGAGCCGCGGGCCCAGGATCAGCCGGTGGGTGGGGGGTGGGGGTGGGGGGTGGGGTGGCGGCCTCCGCAGCACTTAGTACCCCGGGGCCACGGGCGGTCGGGACTACAAAACTCGGCGCCCGAGGGTGGGGGGACCGCGCTGACCTCTGTCCCAGCCCAGCCCCTCGGGCCTCCTCTGCGTGAGGGCAGGGCCCCGCCCCGCGTCGTGGGCCGACTGGGGAGGCACAGGATTCCCGCCACACTCCCCTCCAGACCTTTGTGTGAGCTCCTGGATTCCCGGGCCTTCTGAGCGCTCGCTGTAACTTCCAGTCACCTCCTTCACGCAAGTTCCCTAAGGCCTCTGGGCCCTAGGGTCCCTTCGCCCTGAGACCGGCCTACTCCCAGGGCCGCAGCGGGGTGGGGGCGAACCTGATGAGTCAGGGACTCCACACTCTGGCCCAGGAAGAGGCTGAGGCTCCGCTCCAGTCCCTGCTTCTCCCCTTGGCCCTCACAGCAAGGGAAGCCCAACCTCCCTGGAGGTGCCCCTACGCCCCTCTGGCGTCGGTCTCGAAGGTGAGGGTAGAGGTTTGACTAGGGTGGGCAGGAAAATACACGTGTCGCCTCACTGACGCGGTTGCCATCACGCACTAGTGGCGGGACCTTAGGCAACCTACTTTCTGAGCCTCAGTGTCCCCATCTGTAATATGGGGTTAATGATAATGAGTTCTCCGCGCGGTTCCTAGGCGGAATGAACTTGAAGCGCCTACCCGCGCCTGGCCAATCCGAAGCTCTCCCTGACCGATCAGCTAATCTTGCTACGAAGGGGACCCCCCCCCCTCCGGCTTCCCAGGGTGTGGGCGGCAGGAGCCCTGGGGGCGGGACGACAGTTGTTGCAACTAACAAGCGTCTCAAAATCTCGAGATTTCCAAGTTTGTTTGGAGGGCGGTATGGGGAGGAGTTCTCCGAGACGGCCAGCCCTGGGGACCAAACAGTTGAGCGTAGCCGGCGTGGCCCCAAACAAGGAGGCGGCGGGCGGGGCCGCTGCCGCAGCGTCCGGGCTCCCCGTCTCTCTCAGAGAACAGAGAAGCCTCCTCGTTCCTCAGCAATGAACTGGGAGAGTGCCAAAGAGAGACAGCTTGCCCCTTCTCCCGTGGGCCGGCAGCTACTCTTGGGCAGTTCTTCCAGCAAATTAATTGAAACGGGCCTGGAACTTCGTAGTCTCCTTCCGATGGGGTTGTTCAAAGCCCGCGCTCAGAGTGCTCGGTTAGCCTCGGGGGTCCACAGCACGTGGGTTTTCCCTCGTGGTGTTGGCCTTAACCTTGGATACCATCAATCTGTCCAAGAATGACTGATGACCTTGTCACAACGACGCCAGTCAAAACATTTTCGGTCCAACTGTGTTCCAATCAGCGTCGAGCCATCCTCCGTGAGACCCGGACAAAGTCTAAACAGCGCGGTTCCCAGGCTCAGGCGACAGGAGTGGTGGGAAGACAAAAAGAAACAAGAAGAAATCAGTAAGGAGTGGCTATTAATTGTTCAGAGTGGCGGGTGCTAAGTAAGTTGGCTTGTTTGCGGAAAGACAAATGTCACTTCTTCCCTCTGAGTGTGGACAGAACTCTGGCTTTGGGAAAGCGCCCGAGCCGGTCATTTTCACACACCCTGTCCGGGCCCTACCCCCACCGAGCACTGCCACTGCCTGGAAGGGCAGGGGGCTGGTGCCCAAATCTTGGAGATGAGAGCGCGCAGGGAAGGGCAGCGGGGCATTCCAAGGCACCCGGAATGGTCGGAGTGGAGGTGGGGCTGCTCTCCCAGCCAGCACCGCCGACGCCACGTTTGGGGCAAGAGGCTTCTGCACGACCCCCCGGGGCAGCCCCTAGCAGCAAAGGCAAAAAGCTTCGCCGGTGACCGGGAGCAGTTTAACCAAGTGTAACGCAGCCCGGGATACTTGCCTCCGCTGCCCACAAGGAGAAGGAGCGAGTTCCCCAGGCAGACCACTCGAGAGTGGGTGGGCTTAGCGCTAAGCCGTGTGACACTCCACTGCGGCCGCCTCCCAGCTCCGCGGCCAGACTTGAGTCCCGCCAGGACTAGCTGCCCTTTAGAGACCCTCGGCCTCACGCCCACCAGCTCACCAAAGCCTGCCTTCTCCGCTGCAAACTGAGCGTTTCGTACCAGTGCGCAACCCGCCCCGCCCCTGCCTCCCCCGGCCAGGATTTCTGCTGAGAGTTGCGTGGCGGGCTAGTCGAGCAGTTACTCCTGGAAAAACTGAGCCGGACAAAAGCGCAAACCCGGTACTGGGACTTGGTCCACTCGCCGGCTGGGCGCGCCTACTCCGATGCGGACACCCGAGCGCGTGAGGAGATGCATTCCGGTTTTCGTGTTTCCCCTGCTTTCAGGATCAGGGCAGTGAGCTGGTACCTAGAAAAGACTTATCATGGGCAGGAAGAGACAACAGGAGAGCGGGAGACGTCACGCCAAAAAACGAGCGGGGGGTGGGTGGGTGGGAAGGCGTTGGAGGTATCTGTGCTGGAGAGGGGCACAGGCCGTGTGTGGATCCAACCGAGTTAGAACTTCCTTCTCTCCCTCTCCCCTCCCCTTCGTTATTCTGGCCTGCCTACCGCCTCCCCCCACTCTCCATCTCCACCTCTCTCTCTCTCTCTCTCTCTCTCTCTCTCTCTCTCACACACACACACACACACACACACACACACACACACACACACTTGTATTTTGTGCTGTCGTAAAACCCACGTGTCCAGCCGGGAGGCTGCCAGAGCGTGGAGCCGAGGAACCGGGACGCGGCGGCAGCCGAGCGCAGCAGCCCACCGCGGCTCCGATCCGCGCCGGATCGGCCCGCGCTCCCGGCTGAACTGCTCTAGCGCGTTCCGCGGGCCTCCACGCCCATTTCTCGCAGCCCGGGAGGGTTCCGGGCGGTCAGATCACATCTTGGGCTCTCCCCTCCGCGGCCCAGGGGCATGTAGCGCACCCGGGACGCACACTCTCCCCCACGCCCACCGAGACACACGCACGCACGCACCCGCCGGCGGCTCGGAGTTTCCAGGTAAGGCGAGGCTCGTTTGGGGCCGGTGGTCTTGGGCCCCGGGGATAGGAGGCTGGAGGTCCTGGGCTGGGGGCGGGGGGCGAGACTGTCCCGCCTCCTGGCGCCGGAGGCCAAAGCCGCTCCGGCTCTGCGCCACTCCGGCTCGGGTCGGCTCCGGGCGCCTGCTGAGGGCGGGGGCTGCGTCCTGCCGCCTAGTTCTGCGGGCGAGCGCCCTTGCGCCGGGCTTCAACAGTGCGCGGCGGGAGCTGGGCGCCTCGGACTGGAGGCAAGGCAGGGTGCACACAGCTCCCTTCGCGAGGCGCCACCGCTTCAGAGTAAACTTTGCGCCCCAGCGGAGTTGGAAAGAGGGAGCTGGGGAACCGGGCTGCCGCAGGCGGAGCCCAGGGCTGAGCCCTTGCTCCACGGTCTTGGCGGTCATCCTCCCCGCCCCTCTCGCACCCAGCCCTGGGCCCGGCTCAAGCGCACCCTCCTCTCTGCCCTCTGCCCCCAGCTTGAGAGGTCGGACATGCTGAAGCCCGGAGACCCCGGCGGCTCGGCCTTCCTCAAAGTGGATCCAGCCTATTTGCAGCACTGGCAGCAACTCTTCCCGCACGGCGGCAGCGGCGGCCCGCTCAAGGGCGGCGGCGCCGCGGGTCCCCTGGGCGCGCCGCAGCCCCTCCAGCCCCCGCCGCCGCCGCCGCCGCTCCCG